AATCGTCTTACTGTCCTCGTATATAGAACTTACTTTTTTTTTTAACGAAACGATAAATTGTATTGCTCAAAAGGGGTAGAACCCGATACCGATACAAAACGCAGGCTAACTAGCCAAAGTAACCCACCACCTAGTGGAATCAGAAGAAGCACTAACACTAGTGCCCTACATTAAAACTAACACTTACCGGCTTTAGCCCTTTGGCTTTAAGACTGTTATAACTTATTGCTTCTTGGTTTTTTTGAAGCTTTACAGACCTTATAAAACCTAGCAGCTTCAAAGTTATGAGGCTAATGTGAAGATGTTTTATATTTTTTGAGAAAAGAATATTTTGATAAATAATAGATATATGGTAATCAATTCTAAAATTCGGGAAGCCTTACAAATGAGAGCTGACACCCGTTAAATAGACAAACTAAAGTGCTTGAATCATTCTGGATAAGCACATCCTTGCTTTCTCATAAAAGCGTTGATTGTAAACAAACAAAAGAAACATGGACCACCACCCACACGTTTTCTCTACATTATTTTCATGATAAGATAGACCGCTGCCCACATGTTGTGTCCTCCATTATTCTGATGAAAAGGTTGGTGGGATCACCACAGGCTGGTGTCTCACCCACTTAGCCGACAAGTCACATTGTCGTTCAATCTTTGAGTGTAATTTCAAGACTCTTAAAATTTTTTTCTTCTTTCTCCCCCATGATCGTTTTGCCTTTATATTTAGCGTGATTTACACCTTTTCTTTTCTTTGGTTGGTTGTCTTCATTTTCTTCTTCTACGGTTGTTAAAATTGTTTTTAGATGTTGTTTTGTCCCTTCTGTAGCATGAATTTCATTAATTATTTTGTCTTTCCATTTTTGAATAATCGAAAAATCTTGTTTGCTGATTTTTTATTACAGTTAATAGTTAGTTATATATTGCTACTGCAGTAATTTACTTTTATTTTACTTTCTAAAATGATTCTACCAAGAGTTTTAAGGATTAGATAAATCATATCATCTCTTTCAAAATTAATTTTTTTCTTCAGAAATGTCTGGTTTTTATTGCACTAGTGAACTAGGAAGTTTGATTTCTACAACTACTCCAATCTGGAATGGAATTACACATTTTGATGAATATGTTTCTGTTGTGCAGATGGATTTTGCACTTTTCAATGTATAACCCAATTGCTTATCAAATTTTTTAAATATGGTTAATTCTCTTAAATCATTTTTTTGGTAGATTATTTCCACAAATCCACCAAGAAACAAATATCTGAATCTTTCTGGGTTGATTCCTTGTAGAACAATGTTCTTGATGTGTTGATTCTTCATGACAAGAATAATCCTTTGTTCGATGGTACTAGCATTTCTTGGTATAGCGTGCGCCATTTTTCTTTTGAGATGGTAGTTTTGAGGAGTTTACTATCCATTTGTTCAATCTGATAATCCTCATACTTACAGAAAGCATTAAGGATATCATTTCTTATTTTGTTTGGTGCTCCTATATTTTGAAATACTGGAGTGCTTTGTGCTATTTTTCCTTTTACTCTTTCGAGTATGGTTTCATCTTCAAATTTTTTTGTGCCACATGAAAATATCCTATGGGCATTTTTTTTTCAGGGTTATCATAGATACCCATATTTTGTCCTATGTGTACCACGTACCATTATTTAGCTTGTTCTTCTACTTGAAAGATCTTTGGAACTGTTTCTACTCGCACTAATGCATCTCGGTATTCCTTGGATGCTTTGGAGTTGTTGTTAGACTTGGAAGGCTTCTTTTCAATCTGATTATTTAGTTTCATAATCTTGAGTTTTTACTTCAAAACTTCGACTTCTTGTTCTTTCTATAGTAACTCCAGCTCGAGTTTTTTTGTTTCAATGTACATTCTTGTTCACTTCAGAGTTTTAGAGTTAATTCTCTTGTCAGACAATCTGCAAGACAGTTCTTCTCCTTTTGATATGTTCTACGTTAACTAGTAGTATCCCAGGAAGTGTTGTCACCTGATGAGGCGTCCTTGATTGTAATCTCCCTTGAATTCATTCCTTACAAAATAACTAAAGTTTTTGTAATCAGTTCTTATAAGAAATTCATTTAAGATTAAATATATTTTGAATTTTTTGTATGCCACGAATAACTGCAAGCCATTATTTTTCATTATTGCGGTTGTTCAATTCTAATCCTTGAAAAGCTCCAGAAGTGTATCTACATAGTTTTTAAAAAAATTCGGAGCTCATGAGCTGCACGAAATGGTTGAACGTAGTCTTTGAAGATGCTATCATCTACGTATATTTCAACGAAGAGAAAGTCCTTGTTAATCTTGAGAGCAAAAAATGTCAGACTGAATCTCCCCCGCTTGAACCCCTTATCAAGAAGGTGCATGGTCAACTTCCCATACCATGCGTGTGACGTCTATTTCAGTCCAAACAATGCCTTCTTAAGTCGGTGCACACGATTAGGATGGTTCGAGTTAGTGAAACCTTCGAGATGCTTTACGTAAGTAACCTCGTTCAAGATCCCATTCAAAATGCAGATTTAACATCCATCGGCTGCACAATAAACTGTATTAGACAAGCAATAAATAAAAATATATGAACAGACTCAAGTCTAGCAACGGGAGCAAAAGTCTCATCAAAATCAACTCATGGAGCTTGAGTGTACCCTTGAGCAACCGATCGTGTCTTATTATTCGTGATAATTCCAAACTCGTCAACACAAAATAGAACACTGTTAAAAAATATGATGCAACTGAATAGCATTCGATAAGAAGAAGTCGACGAGCATGACGTCTAGGCAGCCAGGTCTGGTCGATTTTCAACCTGAGCGGCCTCGGCTTCGGTCTGACTACGAGCAGCAAGATCTTGGGTGTTGCCTTCATTTTCAATCGAATCCTCTAAAGCTTCATTCCCAGTGAGGAGCGGACTCTCGACCATGTTAGCTGTCGTGGATTTGGAAAGCCCGCCACCTGTCTTCAAACTGTCATACGTGACTTCATCTTCATCCATGCAGAGAAATGACCTTCATGTTGTCCAGGATATTGAGCCGTTTGCACTTGACGCCACGTATGCCCTCGATGTCGCCTAGGGAACGAGTGTCGTTCTTCAAACTATTATGGCCCATTTGAGAGGGAGAACCACATTGACGTCTATGGTAATAGTTACTCGGCAAAACCAGCCTGCTCCGACAATTATTTTCTAAACAAAGAACAATTCTATGAATGGTATTTATTCGATAAGATTGGACGAGTTTAAGGCAACAAGTTTTTTGGCCGAGTAGACGTTCTTGAGTGTCCATCATGAGAAGCCCATCGCCTTCAACCTCGCATGTTCCTCATTTTTGCGTACACATTGATCAACCTGCTGCATATGTACACATCGTCTATCAACCTAAAACAACTCTTCCATCCATTTTGCCCGAGTTAACGCCTGTGGAAGGATCAGAAAATCACTCACGGGGCCCTCGAAACTCAAGATCTGCTGCCCTAAAGGAATACGAAAAGGAGCGACCCTAAATGGGCCACAACCACAACCAGTACAAAGGATTGTATGGTTCCCCCATCTGGTCACACGGTTTTCTGATATCAACTCGACAAATAGCTCCATGGCATCCTCAACACGAACATTTTTTGCAAAGCCCAATATTATGGCATTCCAAATAATTACGTTTGGCTTCACCCGGTCGAACAAGGACCTCGTATCTTCCACGAGCCCGCATTTCTCATCGAGAGAAGTAAATGCACATTGGGCTCGGGTTCAAATCTCGTTTCCACAGCAAATCCATAGATGCATTTTCCCGCATTTTCAACCAATGAAGTAAGCACGGTATTGTCATTTCACAGCAAATCCATGGACTTTGTGGCCGTACACCAAGGCTCGTAGATCCGCACAAGATATGAGCACAAGTGGGAAAGCGAATCTGACCAGGATAATTCGAGCCCACCACATTCTCGAGTACATGCCGAGAACTGGAGCCGACGTACTGTGGGTTGAGTAGCAATTGATGATCAAGAGAGCACACTTAGAGCGGAGGCTGAAAAAGAATTGTCACATTTCAGGTTAGAAAACAAAAGACATCGACAGAAACATCCCCATGTTCAAGCATCACAATAATATTCGGATCCAGTCACGAGGTTGAACGTGGTGGTCAAAGCCCTCCTCAAATTGCTTCAGTAGAAACTCAAGTGCCATACGAGCTGTGTTTTCATATATCCTGGCTTTGTAAATTTAGCGAAGAGCTGCTCAATGGGCTTTCGATGCTCTACAACATGTAGTTCAAGCGTAGAGATTGCCAGGCTTATTTAGGTTAGGAGCTGTTTTGGAAAGAAAACATAGAATTTCAGCATTTGATGATTGCATTCCACGGGAACATACGTTGGTCGGGAAATTCGTCGAACAAGAGACGGGCATAGTCAAGAGGAGCATTGAATTGTTGTGGATCTGAATTTTTCTTTCTGATTGTAGAAGATAAGATATGTGGATATTGTTTTATTCTAATCGCAAGTCAGAGATTAAAAAAAAAAAAAAAAAACAAACAAAAAAACAAAAAAATCTAGGCCACATAAGTTGACACTAATGCATCTGGTTCCTTAATAGAAACCAGTGTATGGTTTCTTAGAAAAACCAATATTCACCCTACACTTTCATCAAACATCAGTATAGAGCATGCATAATGCACAACTTGCTCAAAATGAAAGAGGCTCCAATTTGTCAGTTCACATCCTCATCAGGACAGGCAATCCAAAAACTTACAAAAAAAATGAAAATAGTTAGTTGCATCAATATGCAGAAAAGTACCACATCCATCTCTAAGGAAAATAAAATTACAAAAACCTCACTCGAGGGTTCGGGTACTTACAAGGAAACCCACATAAAATTTCAGAAAGAGCCCATGAGGTTAGCTGCTATCTATATACCACATGCCCCTCGGAAGCATTTCTAGAAATCAACCAATTAAAACCTCACGGGTCTTCATGTAATTCGGAGATTTATTTATCCGGGCCCACCTCTGATAAAAAAACTAATAAATGGGCCCAAGGCCTTCTATGTCAGCACTGACAATGGCCTTGAAATCCTTGTCAGCCTCGTCATACCTCTGGTCAATCACTGAGAAGCGGATGTTTGTCCCCTTTTCGACTCTCTTGGAAGTCCCCTCCTCCTCAAAGTATGGGTTCTCTCCAGCCACAAACTCGAAGCTCGGCATCTTGCGCTGGGAGAGGTACACCTTATCCGCGGGTCCGCAGCGCAGGAAAACCCCGTGCTTCATCACCCTGTGGACAACCCCTTCGAGGACTTCCCCCACCAGCATCTTGAAGGTCACGCACGTGAACTCCACGGGGAAGACGACGCTGGTGGGTCGTTGGCCCAACATCCCTGGGCCCACCCGGTCAAGGGTCGTCACCGCCATAAAGTAGCCCATGTCCGGGGCAGCCTTTTTTGTCGCAAAGTCATTCAGGAGTTGCATCACAATCGCCTTCTCGATGCCCGTGCCATCTTGGTCCAGGTTCGAGGGGTGGACCGACACGTTCCACGATAATTGGCTTCTCAGAAACATTTTTTTTTTTATCTTTTTCTTTTTAACTACCTGTGGTTAGTTCAATGAACACGGTATGTCACGATTAGAAAACAAGATTAGAGATAAATGACACGATCGACTTGACCACGGCATAACCCGAAACATGACACAAGGAACACGAATTAATAAATTCAGCTGAATTTGGACTTGGCATATTTATTATAACAGATAAAACGAAAACACTAAAGTGAAGCACAAAGACGACAGAATAGCACAATTTGGCACAAAACAAGTGTTTGAAACATATAGTATTAGCAGGTTGTATGTTTAGCTTTCAAAATATCTAATGATCTGCCCTACTAAATCAAGGTATAATTTTCTTTTCTCGTTGGTGGAAAAATGGACCAAAAGATGACATGAACTATTAATGTAACAGTCGGACTGCTGGAGTCTGGACCAACTTCAACAAATTAACATAACTTACTCTACTTATACAAACAATCTGTATAGACCACGTTGCAATATTCATGGACAATGAATAGAGAAACCATCTATATGCATCTAACTGACTAGGACAAGCTCAATTAAAGAAAGGTGACATGTTCTATAGCTAATTAAGTGCAAATCTAAACTAACCGCAGTTGATGATATAATTCGTTTTCTGGATTGTGATCTTAGCAAACTCAATTGATCTACTAACGACAGATGAATGATAATGAACACAATCCAATTCCACATAGAGATATGCTAAACTATAATGGCAAATAAAGAACCAATAAAAGAATTATTCAGTTTCTGTCATTACAAGTCTTCGAAAGTAAGGAATTTTCTAGGGCTACCCAAAGTACAGGCATTTTTTTGTATCTCCTGGAAGAAGTTTTACAGGAAGTCTAATTGCCTCGCATCGTGTCTAATAATTTTATTTTTTTTAAAAAAAAGGAAGAAATAAAAGATATTTTGATTAGAGCAGAATCGTCGTAGGATCTTCTACCTAATAATAGAATTGAGCATGATAACAATATATGTATGGCCAGGTAACATGTAAAAAGCCAAAAACAACTAAATGAAGGTCCACAAGAAGGACTGAAAAGAATTAAACCTCCAACAGTTGTGAAGTACACTCATAATAAACTCACCTTCACCTTGCTAAATGGTTTGATGTCTCGGTTTCAAGAGCTCGAAAATCACAGTGACCAAAAATCCCTGCAACAAAATTAATCATCTTCAAGTTCTTCCCATTATTTTCTGGATATGTATAAACATACAATCTGATTAGTTCTTGATTTTCAAGTAATACACCAAGAAGAGCAACTAACCAGTAACCGGCAACTAATGAGTTATACAGTCGCCAACCAATGCCGACACCACCAATCCAAGAACAACAACAACAACAACAACAACAACAACAACAACAACAACAACAACAACGCAAATCAATGAATTATGCCCGATAAATCAAAGAAAACTACAAACAGATAACAAAGAAAAGTGATGTCTCAAGAATTCATTCATGCCATTTTTTTTGATTGATTTTTAATTGATGTCTCAGTGATCACGGCAAATTAAAAATACAGAAATACAGGAAAAAAAAAAAAAAAAAAAAA